AGTCATACTTTTGTGGTGGGAATAATTATAGAGAGAGTTAGTCATACTTTTGTGGTGGGAATAATTATAGAGAGAGTTAGTCGTACTTTTATAGTGGGAATAATTATGAGAGTTAGTCATACTTTTATAGTGGGAATAATTATAAAGAGAGTTAGTCATACTTTTGTAGTGGGAATAATTATAGAGAGTTAGTCATACTTTTGTAGTGGGAATAATTATAGAGAGAGTTATTCGTATTTTTGTAGTGAGAATAATTATAGAGGGAGTTAGTCATACTTTGTAACTGGGAATGATTATGGAGGTGACAAAAACAGCTTTGCAAAATCATCTTGTGAAATAGTATATGATAAAAGATGCACTGAAGGAAATTGCCCCATACTAACCTGTTATCTTTTTCCAATGTGTTAATTCTTATGAAACTGATGATAAGGATTATAGTTTGTTTGGATAGGATAAAATGGAAAAACCGTTATTAATGGAACCTTGTTACTAGTGCATTGCCCCAGGGCCTTGGTGCATGGGAATTTGATTCTTTTTATTTATGTTAAGGAGTGTAAATAAAGAAGAATGTATAACAATATGTCAACCATACTGTATCTGTCATATCTAATGCTGAAGAGGCCTTGTGCCCAATACCAGGGTTTTATTGATAGGTCTTAATTAATAAGTTAATAAAGTTTGCTAATGACATTAAGCTCTTTGGTACTAGCTGTAGTATGGATGTTGAAGTACTGTGGTCAGTTGATTAGTTGGATAGATGTTTGGTAAAGGTAATGCATTTAATTTAATTTCTCATAATTTGGAATCCACATTTAATAGAAATGGTATAGCTGAAGAAAAGGATATTCTTACACTGGTGGATAAACCATTGATGCAGTGTTCTGTTGCTTGTCACAAAGTTAATATCATTTTTGAGTTTACATTTCTACTTATGTATCTAGTGATTACGAGATCACTAATCAAGCTTTACTTGGAGCAGTGTACAGTTTTGGACTCCATGTTTAAAAAAATTATATTGATTTATTGAAAAGAGTTCGGAAGAAGGCTACTATGAAGAATTCAAGGGTAGATCTTACAGGGATAGGTTTAGATCTATTTTCTTCTCCTGCAAAAAGAAGGATAATAAGTACTCTTAAGTTTACAGTATTATGTAGAAAATTGATAGGATAAAAGCTTTTGATTTACTTATGTTCTGAATATAATGGGCTGAAGAGACACAAGTTAAATATTTGAAAAACAGACTAGGCTCCAGTTAAGACAGTTTTATTTTTCAAACAGAATGATTGATTCATGGAATGAATTTCCATCAGTGTTAGTGGAGTCTGGCATCTTACGAGTGAGAGGGGAATCAATAAAACTATTAAAATACATTAACAAATATATATAAAGAGCTTACAGTTGTGACAAAACTGAGCTGCTAGTGACATTGTATTGATGGATATGCAGTATTTTGACTAAAAAGGCTTATGGATATAAGGTGTGTGTACAGAAATGAAATATATTTTGTAGAATTTGAAATAAGTAATGGTTTGATTTTTAAAAATTTTTATATAGTAATTTGTAATGGTTTGATTTAATAAATAGGCCACTTTTGATTTCATAGCATTTTATGTGAAATCTGGAGAAAAAAGTTGATTCACCAGGGATTGAAATATTACCTTCCCAAGGAAATTAACTTTGCTTAAGGAATTTCATCTTTTTAGCTGTAAAAGCAAAAATTTTGCATGGATTAAATAAAAAAAACAATTCATGAGAGAATGCAACTTTATATGAGGGAATGTAATCTTCCTGATAGCTTTCCCTCAAGTGAATGTAATTTTATTTCATTATTCATATCCCTGCTTGCTCAAAATAGTAAAATTGAATATAATGCATTTTGCATCTATGTTCTTCACTAACATCAAGAGCAACTTTAAGAATATTCTGTTTCTAATTATGAAACTTATGCCTAAAGTAAACTTGAGTTAGGCATAGAAGCTTAATCCACACTTTATCAAATAACCTCCTCGTTGCATTTATCATGTCTCATTCTAGCAAGCTGTAGGAAACCATAAAAACAACACAAAAGGAGATAAGTTATTTTAACACTAAATAACTAATCTAAACACCAATATGAAAATCACTAGTAAAATGAAAGTAATTATGTAATACTGTTAAGACAAAGTTACTTTTCTAATAGGGGTGATCAGCTTATAGAATATCTTGCTTTCAGGAGTGGTAGGAGGAGTTTAAAAGGAGATTGGATGAGTATTTTAGAGGTAAAGATTAGATAGTGAAAGAAAATGGGGAAGCTGAGATGGTCCAAATGGTCCCTTCTTATATCTGTGAAGTTTTCAAACACAAGAACATTTTCTTTGGAGATTGAAAAAAAGGTCAAAGGAAGACCCAGAATCAGACAGACCACTTAGTCTGTCTGACTAGTTGATAAGCTGTTGAAATCTCTTACCAGGAAGTACTTGGAAGGGCAATGTGATGGTTATAATTGGATTAAAAATTCTGATCATGGTTTTAGAAGATTTCTTGTCTCACTAGTATTGGAGATTTTTAAATAGGATTTTTTCATGTCTGTATATGTTATGAATCTTGACATCCAGAATGCTTCTTATAAGATATGTTAAAAATTAACTTGAAAGTGGAAGACAGAATTTTGGTAAATTGTCACAATTCTTGTTTATTGTTTATATCAGTGCTAGGGACTACTGTATAAGAAGTGAGATTTCTAAAGTTTATGGTGATACTGAACTGGTGAGTAAGGCAGTTTCTTGAGAAAGTACTACTTTAATGTAGAAACATTTGGACAGTTTTGCTGAGTGAACTACAGTATTCTGTAGAAAATTAATTTAAAATAAATGCATTTAGTATATGGAAACTATAAAATTCTTATTTTTTGTGTTGTAGAATTGTTAATGTTTTGGAGAAAGGGAAATGGAGAAGGATTTGTGTGCAATGATTGAACAAACTTTCAGCTGAATGTTTGGAAGTGGTGAAAAGATAAATAGGATTCTGGGCTCTATTTACAGAAAGTTTAAACTACAGAGTAAGAAGGTTATCATCACTGATGGAAATTTGTTGGTGTGAATGAAGAAAATGTTGAAAATTCTTGCATAGCTACCATAACAAAGAAACATCAACTAGTGAACAAAATTATAACTAGTTAATCAACCAACAAAAACATTACTCAGTAGTTTACCTTTTGTCCCTGAAATCAGTTCAAAAATATCCACACTCGGACAAAATTAGTCATTAAGCATAAAATTCATTTTGACTTTAAATTCATTCAAAAACTGGGTCCTAAACTAAAATTGCTTCTAAATAAAAATTATGTAGAACCATACAGTACCAACATCATTTATAAAATAACATGTAATAAATGTTCAGAATTCTATATTAGAAAAATTAAAGAAAATTAGAAACCAGATTCATGGAATATAATAAAAAAATCCTCCCATGTTTACCACTATTGAACTTCAAAAAACCACAGTATATCCATAGCCATTTTAATTGAACAAAACAACCCTACTCTTAGCCAACAAGTGAGGGTGCCAAGATACCTTTATTAAGTGGTTTAGCAATCTCTGGTCATGTGACCTCTTTGTTCCATACTGTATGTATATTCCTGTGTTTGTGTAAACTACTTGTATCTGATGCTGACAAACCATGTAGAAATGTTATACATTTGTTACTATGTTAAACTTGTAATAAAGTTTTCTTCATCACCCATTCAAGCGACCACCAAACTTTATTGTCTTAAAGTGGTTTCTGTGTTAACTAATCTGATACCAGATTTTGGTTGAATTAAGATATAATGATGAAATGTGAGAGGTAGAAGTGTACATTGATTGAATCCACATAATGGCTTACCAGAAATAAAATGATTAATGGATTTTAGCTATCCATTACTGGAGAAGTAAAATGTAAAAGTGCTTAGTTGTTGTTATAAACAAGGAGTGTTTTTAATTTACAATTTATTTTGTTAGAGAAAACTTTCACAGTAACTGTTTGTTATATTGAATAGATAAGATATTGTATGTTTAGTGGAAAGTTTTTAAACAAAAAATTGTTTTCTATAAACAAAATGTACCAAAGTTAATATACTAATCTAAATATGTTTTTTGAGAACTAATAGCGTTTTGTTTTTTAGTGCTGAAATTAGTTTGTCTGATAGACATGGGTTTTGATCAGATGTCATTTTGAATTTACTGAGGTAAACTTAATAAATGTTTCTGTTAAAATAATTCTAATAATTTTTTATTGCTTTTCAGTTCCCTTTGAATGATAGTCATGAGCAGCTTTCAGTTCTTTGGGCTGGAAAAAACAGCAAAATAGTGATTTGTTTGGCTCGCAATCGAGTGATCCAAGAGGGCAGTAGCTCCAAGGTATTTTTTTCCTATAATTATGGAAAAACTTTCTCAGAAGTACAGGAAAAGTTTATGCGCATATCTCCAGAAAAGACTTCAACAATTTCTATGTTTTATATTAGTCCTGTGACAAACAATAGGGTGAGTATTGGTTTTTAACAGTTATTTGATATTATGAATCACTGTGATTAACAGAGAAGAGTTCACCCATTCACTAATATTTGTATACAGGCATTTGTATTTTATTAAATTAGTATATCTCATACATAAATAATAACAGTGAACAAATCCATTTTTCTTTTTTTGTTCCATTTTGTTATCATTCAGGTAAAAATAACAAATAAAATTAAGAAATACATGACTGAATACTGTAGAGAAGTTGCCAAGATAAGATAGCCTATAATCAGGCTGGGGCCATCATTGAAACAGCTTTATGATAGAGGTTTACTACACGCCATTTTAATGTGAACTTTTGAAGGGAATTTTAACCATGATTAATAATAGCATTGAATGGCCAGTGAGTGAGTTTTGTATGGAAACTTCACTAAAACACATGCAGACTGTATGTTATTGTCATTTTAGGTGATCTTCATTTAACCCTGTGTGAATTACACCAACCCATGTTTATGTGATCCTATACATTGCAATGTTTACTGTAATTTAGAATTTGCTGTGTGTGTGTGTTTATGAAATTTTGCAAGCTTTTAATAAATGTTACAAATCTGTTGTACATAAAAAATCATATTTTTTAATATAGTATTTTTACTAAAACTTGTTTGTGAATTTATGGAGTCTGTCTGAGTCTGACTAGTCTGAGTGCAAGGCGATTTTAATGTTAAGAGTAAAAATACTTATTTACATATTTCATTTGCATAACCTCTAGAATCACTTAAATGGATATCAAAAGTTTTCTTAAGTAAAACTTTTTATTTTATCTGTTATTTTCTCTACCCTAATACTAACTGTAGCAAAATTATAAATGTAGAGTAAAATGAAAAGTTGAAAAATAAGAAAAAGTTTAAATTTTTTGTAACAGAAAGTTTTACAATATTTATTCTTACAACAAAAGTTAATAGACTTCTAAAATCTGGGTTTATGTAGTTTTATTGCTTTACAGTTGTACTTAGACTCTCTCAGAGTACACCAAAAACCGTTTATTATAACAGAACAGCTTTGTGTGAATAAATGATTAATTAAAAGTATGCTATGATAGATACACAATTAATTTTTTATTTAATTTTTCCATTTATGTTTGCTTATCTAATTGAATAAGTTTCTGATTTTTATGTTTTAGTTACTTTTATAACAAGAATATACACAACAAGAAATTTGATAGTCATTTCTGAAGTTCAAGCATTTTGTTTTCAGATGATGAAACACTGTAAGCCTATCTTTCTTGTAATGATGTTAGTATTGTAAAATATAGTTTTTATTTCAATTATGCAATTTAGAACTTAAAACATTATCACCCACAAGAAATAGAATGTTCTAAAACTACTATACTTTTACTGTTTTCCTAACTAATTTCTAAATGAATTAAAAAATTGCATTAATTGGTCACGAAAACACTACAAAGGCAAACATTGAAACTGGGGCCAAATATTGCCAAGCCTGGTTTATGAATGAAGTAGCCTCATAAGAATTTAGGAAAACAAAATCTTCTCTTTCTGTTGATTATAAATAATCCAATAACAAATCTGAGAGAGAATTACTCACAATTTTGAAAGACAGGATGTGATAGGAGAGGTATGACATGTGGGTTTAACTTTCTTGTTTATTCCTCAGTAAAGCAAAAGATTTGGAGGCTACAAATTTACATTATGGCTTGGTAGTATCTATGGTATATATGTTTAATGTATGTCAAACTCAGAAGATTATGTAGGGGTGAAAGGAAATTTAAAATGGGCAATTTTTAGAGCAAATGCATCACACGACAAAGAGAAGTGGAGATTGAGAATTTGAATTATAACTAACTTTTGTGCCAAATTTATTATCATACATTGATATCAAAGTTGTTTAGTCAAATTTTGAACATAACTTAATGAAAGTGAGGCTACAGTATAAAAAAAGCACATTTATGTCTACATTGTAAATCAGTCACTACATCTGGTTTTACAAATTATTACAAAGGCATTTTGGTTTTAAAATTGATACAGGTTTTTCTTTTTTTCTTCTTTGTTTCATAAAAATATTTTTATTACTTTCTGTTAATATTTTACTAATGTTGCAAAACATAGATTGGTCCCACACTTTGGATCAGTATTAACTTTAATGTTCTTAAACAGTGTTACTCTATTTAAAACTTGTTTTTCGTATACATATTTTTATGACATATTGTTAAATGGTCTAACTTTTTACTTTTTTTACTTCTGTGGTAAAGAAATTCAGCTACCTGTATATCTTTAATAGTCTGTTAATAGCATCAGTCCATTGAACCAATCCCATTTTTGTGAAGCTATTACATGGTAATGTTATCTATAACTCTGAATGTACTATACTGTTATGAAATTTAGCAGGCTCTTAGTTAATACAAAAAAATAGATTTTCTGACTAAAGATTTGTCTGTGAATTTACAAATTCTTTACTGAGTCAGTGATTGAAAAGTGATTTTCATGGTGGGCACGGGAGGCTTAGCCCATTGGGTAGCTTTGTACTTAACAAGAAACAAACTCTATCCTAACTCAAGATCATCAATGTACAGAGGAAGACAAAATTAAAAATACAAAATAAAATCAAAAATACAATTCACCACAGCAGGAGTGTAAATTTATATTTACCTTTTTCTTCATTTGCTTTTGTAATCTAATCTAAGTTTATATTTTTTTACATTTTAGCTATTTTTTAAAAATGTATAACAATAAATAAAAATTATAAATAAAAAATAAGACATTTTTGACTTACATTAGAGTTGAAACCTATTTCACTAATTTGTGTTCAAGATGGTACTTCCTCAGCTCAAGATTTTTCATACTACATTAGTTCTTCATAAAATCATTAATGCTCCTTTCAAATGTGCATTTTTGAACACAAAAAATATATAAGAGATATAGAATGTCCCCAAATTACTATAACTGGTTTTCTAACTAAGCTATAAATAGGTTAAAAAGATTCTGTTGGGTATTTGAAACTGAACCCCACAATTGTAAACTATGAAACTGAGGCCATTTATGAACACCAAAGTGAAATAACCATATAAGGGAACTTGTAAATAGGAATCTGCCCTTTCTGTTGGTTATAAATAATCCTATAGTAATGTTACACAGAATTATTGACATTTTTTGAGAAACAAAATATGGGAGGGGTGGGTCATGTTGTTTTAAACATTTTATTTTTATTTCTCAGTAAAGCAAGAAGATTGGAGGCTTTAAGTTTGTATTCTGTTTTGACAGTATGAATAGTATGTATTTCTAATTATTTGTACACTCAAAAAATATATAAGCATTGAAAGATCTAAAATGGACAATTTGGAGTGCAGACATTTTGATATCAGGCTTATTGACAACGATTGAGATAATAAAGTTGTTTAATTAAATTTTGAATGTAACTCTGTAAAAGATTGTGACAAGCACATTTTGACCCATTAATTGACATAAGGTACTTTAAGTGTATTTGGAATTTATACATATTACTGGAAAAATTATCTACAAACACTTTTATGGTGAATTGAGTTTCTATTGGACACTGTTTTCCTATCATGAGTCATTTATGGTTTAGATAACAGATAGCTGTGAAATAATTTATATAAATCCTTGGCTTCTTTTGATAAAAGTTTTTATGGTCTGTGGGCCTAAAAACTAATATACTTTTTTAAAGTACCATTTTCTGTAACAATGATAGTTGCCTGATTTCAAGATTGATTCTTAGTTTTTATTCATTGTTTGATAATCCTTGTGAAATACTTTTTTAAGGGAAATTTGACACAATCGTGTTATTCATTGACCTTGTATTAGTTTAATGTAAGTGGTTACTTAGGTAAAATAAACCTTGAAAGGTGAATTTCTGAAAGAAATGTTTCTAACTATATATATTAGTATGTTGACTAACAACAATGGCTGCTGTAATTGACATTGTGACTGATTATTTCAGTATTAAAACTTAAGCAATATTTAGGAACTCAAGAAAACTTCTATCAAAATGGTTTCTAAAAACCAAATTTTATAATTATGTTTCATGAACCTTGTTTTGTTTTTAGTATATTTTCACAGATGTCACCCATGGGTATCTCTTTCTAACTCAAGACTTTGGAGAAACCTTTGAATCTGCATCTGTTCCTTTCAAACCCGAAGTGATAGCATTTCATCCAACACGGGCTGATGTGGTCTTGGGAATGGATAAAAATGATAAAGAAAAAAAGGCATGTCTGTCTAATATTGTCCATTAATAATTAAGACAATCTAATTAAATCTAGAAAAAATATTGTCAAATCCAAAATGTTTCCAAGTGTACCATAAAAAAAAATACAGGTTAAATAGCTAAGAATTCATTTTATTTCTGCTTTACCTTTGGTTACCTTTATTTTGTCCATTTTGATTCTCTATTCATCTTATGTTTGTACTCATAAAGTTATTCAAAATCAGGCATCTAATTTTCACATGAAATGTGGTTGTTCGATGTGTTTTTAACTGATTCAACACTGTTAATACATCCTAAAAGAGAAAAAACTGAAGAAATGTATACTTGTAACTTGAATACCATTATGTAGATTAATATTTAGTTTCTTGGTCATTTTTGGACACATTTTTTATATTCTGAACACTTTCCTTTTTCAAAGTCAATTTATCATTAATTATTTTAATGTTGATAGTGCATTTTTTTTTGGTAAATTCACTCCTCTTTACAAGAACAAGTTTTGTTTTTGTAAAACCAGGCACCACCTATGTTGAAAAAAAATACTAAAAAGGAAGTATGGAAAAGGTTTGTCTGGTTCATTTGATGACATATGTTATACCTGCAGGTGACAACTGTTTCTTTTGTTTTCTTAGCTGGTATGTCTGTGAAGATGTGTGCTGTAAATTTGGTTTTAATTTTTTTCCCTAGTTGTGGCTGTCTGAAGATTTTGGAGTTACATGGAATGAGCTAGATAGGCATGTCAAGGCTTTTTTTTGGTAAGTTATACCAACGTTGTTAGCAGTAGTGTACTCTTAAGAAGAAATGACAAAAGTTTGTTACATGTGCAAATAGTGTTTTTTTCATTCATATAGCTGAATTGTTATTATTAGAAAGTTTTTGCCTTTTGTGTTGAGGGTAAATATTCATAAATGTCTGAGGCTGTACTTAGATTTACATAATCCACTATCATGATCTTGTCTAAACAAGATAACCAATGCATAAACAACATATTAGATTTACATAATTCACTATCATGATCTTGTCTAAACAAGATAACCAATGCATAAACAACATATTAGATTTACATAATTCACTATCATGATCTTGTCTAAACAAGATAACCAATGCATAAACAACATATTGTACACAAAACAAAGACTAATTGGAATTTATAGTACATTATCCATGAAAGGGTAAAGTCACTGTTATAAAATTTCGGGTCATTTCTATAGAAATCAATAAGATCTGAAATGCAAATTATTGGTTGATTGTTCATTCAGCCTACACTTGTAAACTACTTTTGGTACAGGTTGTTTTACAGTTCACCACTTCACTTTGAAGTTGAGTAAAGGCAGCTTGTCACTGATGTTGCTTGCTAAAAAGCAGTGTGTTTAAAAGGCCCTGGGGTATATTTGATCACTCTTAGAAACGAGCTGCTTCAAAGCTGTTTAGGACCCGGAGTCATTTGATGTGTTATGAAACTCTTTTACAGGCTTGTTGAGACTGAAGATCAGGGATTATGTAGAATGTTCCATTCTGTTACTCCTTTCTACTTTAAAGAATATATCAACAAGTTTAACATGGAGGGTGGGGGTGAGAGATATGTCACATTCCTGGTTTAAAGTGGAATTTGGATTTGGTTCCAGATTTTCGTTAAATGAGTATACACCTGTTATGTGGCTGTAGTGTGAAGAATATGGCTCCACACATTGTTAATCCATTGTTCGGTGTGAGTGGAGTGAACCTTCATTGAGTGTCTTGACATACCTTGTGAAGTCTTTTTTTCAACCATCTGCACAGTGTTCAGTAGGTACTGCATACATTTGATTCAACAGATTTGAAGTGAGATAAAACTGATAGATAATTGTCAGCTGCATGTGTTGTAGATCATCGGCCTTGTTTGGGTATACAAGCAACTGTGACATTAGCTCAGAAAGGATCTCAGATGTTGCTAGTGGCACTTTGAGTAAACTTGCAACCAACAGCCCGGTGTGATTGGCCAGCTTGTTTTGTGCAGTGGCTCTCCATGTGAGATTTCTTCTTTGCGGTTTAGCCATGGTTCATGAGTAGTTTGTGACTGATGACAGGGGCTATTATATATAATATAGGTTGAATGACCACTCATTTGCATTTGTAGTTCTGTGACTAAACATCAGATGTCTGATTTGCATAACAGTGAACCAAGGAGAGGGAGATGATTATATTATGTTATATTTGTCAAATTACAAATTTTGATAATCCTTTAACTGTTTTGAGTAGTGTATTTTAAAATCAGTGAACATTGACTTCTTTCTTGAAATAAATGTTTGATCGTCATAACTCATTCACTTTTACATAATCATACACATATTAACTTTAGCACAGTTTCTAACAGATCACTTGCTAGCACAAAATTGTATCATACATTAAGTATTTAATTAATCAATTTTAAGATTAGGCATTAGTATGTTAAAAACTATTTTAACTTACAGTGTTAACCTGGCATTCAGATTTTCATAAGATCAGGCATGTAAATTTCTTGTGAAGGAATCTTATGAAACTAAATGTGTTAAAAATGGTGTTCTAACCAAACCCTAGCTTAACCCTCTCACTATGGTATTTCTTTCTGTGCATGCCATGAGGTTTTAGTGAGTTACATTGAGAATTTAATTAACATACTATATTATCATGATATACAAATAAACTTGGCATCAAAACATAGCTAATAATCCAAAATTTAATATTATATAAGTTTTAAGTTCTTAATTTTATAAGGCAGTGTTAAATTGCCCCTAGTATGAGAATTGTGGCATTTGCTCTCTCGGGATCTCCTCTTCTCTAATTTATTTATGATTTCTATGAGAAGTATGAAATTTAACATAAATTACTCATTATAATGTTGTCATCACTCAGGCAAAACATAATTTTTATAGTTTTCAATCTTATTTGGTTTCAGAGCCATAAACTAGAAAATCAGATCTCTCTTCACATGCCCACCTGTCACATTCTCTCTTTAACAAATTGCCAATAGTTCTGTTTGATGTTTAATACTATATTATTTATAACCAATAGAAAGTCAAGGTTTTAACATATCAAATGACATACTATGTTATTTTCTGTACAGAGAATTGTCTGTTTTGCTTCCAGTTCTTACTATATTCCCATGGGAAACACATTGATCAGCTTAGATGAATTTTTAATGTCTCTTGTTGCAAAGTTAGAAACTCAGAAAAATTATGATAGTTATAGGACATTGTGTGCTTTTTGCATGTTATTATTCTGTATTCTTTGGTGCATTATTTAATTAAATAAAAAATTATTTAGTCCAGTAGTACCATTAACATAAAAAGTATGGTTAAGTTTCATTGACATTCGACAGCAAAAAAGAAGACCCAGATAAGTACTATATTTGTTGCTCTTCATGTATATTCTTTATTTATTAATATAAATATATCTAAAATGTAAAAAATTAGAAAGTTTATAGGTAAGATAAGGTTAGATTAGGTAAAATAAAGCATAATAATAATAAAATATTTTCACATGGTACACTCTCGACAAGCCTGTGTGTTATGTAATTCTTTTGGGTAACGTGAACTACACATTTGCCAAGTGATTTACAACTTCTGTAGTGGGAATATTAGTTAGATACAGTTCAAAGAGCAATTAAACAATAAAATTTAAGTATAAACAGGTGTATACTATTACGAGTTTAAAGCTATTTAGAATAAATAAATTTAGTTTCATGTTACAATTTGAATTCATTCTAGAAAGAAAAAAAAGGGTAATTTAGATTTATTTTAGTATTATTTTTTGCTGGTTATGAGGTCAGTCAAACTGACCATCCTCGTGTAGAGTTAGGGTAAAGAAAATAACATAAAATGTAAAGATTTACTGAAAAAAAATTTGAAATTTATTTAGGAGGTTTTAGAGATTACACAACTGAAATTTGAGATTTTTCAGATGAAGAAAAGTATTTTTAATCTTAACTTGAAAATCATTTTGTACTTGGAGCAGTCAACACTAACTCCATATATTCATGGAAAAAATATTTAGTGAAAATACTTCATTAAACATTCTGATTTTTTGTCTACAAAAACTGTAATGATTACTGAAAGCTTGTGATATTTCGTGAAAATACACAAAACATATTAGAAGTTATGGTATGAAAACTATAAAGGTCAATTTGGGATCACGAAATCGGTTAGTTCCTTCCAGCCCTTAGTGAGAGAGTTAAAGGAGAGCATACGGTCTTCATAATGTATTTCTATGCTAAATTATGCAAAACTTTTATTCGTGTAAAAGTTATGATAAAGTGTGTTTAACAAACTAGAAAGTATTATATAGAATATTTTCATTAGGATTTATTTTACAGGGGTGTTGAGAATATTGATGCTGATGATGTGCTGTTTGTGGAGAGACAAGAACCTGAAAAAAGATCAACTGTTTTGAAACTTAGATTATTTAAAGCAGAACTAGAAAAAGAAGTGTTGTTAACAAATGCTGAGGACTTTGAAGTGAGAGAAAAATATATTTTTGCTACAAAGAAACAGGTATATAGATCTTAAAGTATATTTCACTTTAAATCCAAATATTTCAAATTGTATGGTAATGATTATGAGGACTGTATCCTTTGCAGAGAGGTGAATGTAATATATTAATACATAATTGTGAGGTTAAAGTACGTGTTTTTTTAGTGTGTTAAATCGGGTTTAATAATTTTTGTCATGGGTGCTGTCTGTATTACAAAGTTTTGTATCAGATATTTTAAATAGGGCCTTTTAATTCATCATTGTAAAAATCTGGAACCTTATGTATCTTCACATTTATAACTGAAATGACATATGAAAGATAAAAACATGTTGTCTTCGTAAAAAGTACAAAACAATATTAGATTTTTTTTTAATTTGGAGAACATTTTCATCCATTTATGTAGTCTTATGTTTTTTTACCTAATTTAGCCTTTGTTGAAAACATCTGTCCATTTAGTAATTCAAGTAGAGAGAAAATAAAAACTGATAAAACATTTTCATTACTGTAAAAATGTCATCATAAAGAAACCTCAAACTGCTCATAAAATTTAGTCAGTAGAAGCAGTGCCTACTAAACAGCATAAGTTTTTCTATAGGTAGTTTTAGTGAGATTAGTTTTATTCAGCTGGTATAGTACTTTGTTCACCTCTTATAGTGAAGTTAGTTTTGTTCAGTTCATGTATTTAAGTTATTTTTGTTTAGTTCCTATAGTGAATTTAGTTTTGTTCAGCTTCTATAGTGAAGTTAATTTTGTTCAGTTCATGTAGTTAAGTTATATTTGGTTAGTTCATATACTAAATTTAGTTTTGTTCAGCTCCTATAGTGAAGTTAATTTTATTCAGTTCATGTAGTTATTTTTGTTTACTTCCTATAGTGAATTTAGTTTTGTTCAGCTCGTATAGTGAAATTAATTTTATTCAGCTTCTGTTAGTGGACTGTTTTCTTTTACAGCAACTCTTTGGATCAAATAATAAAAATGGAACACTTCAGTTGTGGATCTCTTACAACAGAGGACCTTTCCAGAATTCAAGATTTCCAAATCACTTAGACCGTAAGGTATAAATAATGTAATATATTTTTAGAAAGATAATCACAGTTCCCTGAAATGTGTGGTTTCTGAAACACGTGTTTAAGAAAAATAAATTTTGTAAGATAGAGAAAAAAAAGTGACATTTCAGGCAATGTTGTGCTTTTTTTAACTGTGGATAATCATCTGTTTTATATGTGGTTGGTTCATGATTTGATTCCTTATAAAAGTGAGAAACTTTCCTGACAATCCCTAGTTTCTCAGCTACTTGTTCTTAAATTATGATAAATACATTTTCCTTATTTCTTCAGTTTCTCAGCTACTTATTACTAAAGGTAAACCCATTTTTTTGACTGCTTTAGTTGCTGGATTACTTATTCTTTTTTTTTTAGCTCTTTAATAAGTACTAATTTACTACACAATTAGATATAGTTTTAATTACACAGTTAGCAACTGCTAAGTTATAGGTATAAGCACAAATATGCCATGTGTTTAGTTTTGGTACATTTATTAACTATGTAAATTTAGTTCAAGTTGTCATGACTTAGCTTTAAGTACAGAGTTAATTTATCTTTCCTTTTTGTTACATACATTTAATTACATGCACAAGTCAAGTACTGTGTTACTATGTTTTAATTATAGGTCTAGTGTTTACTTGTAAATACAGTTAGAGTTACTGTGAGTTGACATGTAAGCACTGGTACATTACTAGCACTTGATTAATGTTAGAGTTAGCTTAAGACAGTTTAATCTTGAACAAAACATCGAGTTTGAGACTGGGACTAATGTATAGGTAAGATCAGTCACAGTTTGAAACCACTTGGAACCTAGTTGAGTGCAACAATAGGGTGAATGAATATCTGGTATATAGGATCAACAGCCAAGATATATCTGTAAGCAGTACTGTATAGTATTACTTAACCTTTCTAACAATACTTATGTATGTAGCAGTATGAAATTGTAATGCCAGACACCTCGTTTGGGATGCAAACGTTTATACATTTTCCTCTCCACTATCATTATACTACTCCAGCTGCACAATGATGCAGCAAACACTAACAAACCAGGGGATTGCCTAAGAGACCCCTCAGCAGACAGTGATGGATGGATAGGTGCTGTACAGCCACCAATGAGATAACTTGTCAGCACCAAACCCCATATTTCTTCCTGTGGAATTACATTTAGGACAACTGGGAGTTGTGGAAATTAGCCTATATACAAAATGTAGAGATTGCCCAGAGGATTGAAGCAGAAAAAACCTGTCAGCTCCTATTTACGATTATGGTGGACATTTACCTGTCATTGTAGCCATAAATGCACCACAGGTGATAAAAGAGAGATGGTTGGGCATTATCGTATAGTGAAGTGACAACATAAAGATGGTGGAACATTCAAGCTTCCAATAGGAGCCAAAAGGATGTAGCCATAAAGTAAACTCTTCTTTGGATTGTTGAAAGCATTGAACTGCAAATAAACAGAACCATCAACATAATATCTACTAATGACTCACAATCAGTACTGCATGAAACTTAGAGTGGTTGGGCCCTAGATGAATGGCAGGAAGTAAAGCAACTGTGGACGCCTGTGCCAGGCCATGCTGGGTTATGAGGAAGCTGATAAACTTGCAGGAGGAGCCCCAGTATCAAGTTTTGTGTGTGTCTCTTCTGATAGGATTTAACCTCTTCTGCACTAGTAAGGTGTAAGTGGTAATCATAGAAGGTCATCATCGTAATTCAAAAGGATTTAGACTTCTGGAAAACAAAATACCTTAGGATGTAGCTAAGAAAAGCAAAAGATGGTAAATCAATAGAACAGTATACACCCAGAAAGCCACTAGTAACAGCAGTAAAAGAAATTCTTTTTATCTTCTACAAGGCAGTCAGTCTCCATATGTGGGGTAACCACCTGTTGGTGAAACATGCGGGATTGTCACCTTGTGCTTAACTGAACATTGGAGCTAAGGGTTACATTATTGGAATGACCATCAAATCCAGTTACTTGATTAGAGTAGTCCAGGATTTGTTAGTACATGCTTTAAATATCTGCCTTCCCTGAAGTCTGTTAATTCCAAATAAAGGATAACTGGCATGTATGGTCCTTTTGTAATTTACTTCAAATATACAAAATTAATATCTTCTTATGAAGGTTCCCCAGTTTCTCAGTTGCTTGTTTCTGAAGACAAGCACATTTTTCCAACTTTCTTAGTTTTTGGGTCACTTTTTCTTACAAAAACCTGGTTTTACTAATAGCTCCAGTTTCTGTTTATAAGTTACTTATTCCTCAAGATAAGCACATTTTCCTGAATGCTTCAGTTTTTGTGTTACTTGAACCTGTTGAAAAGTATATTTTCCTAATAGCTCCAGTTTCTAAGTTAATTGTTTCTCAAAATAACCACATTTTCCTGACTTCCTCAGTTCCTGAGTTATTTGTACCTCATCAAAAGCACAGTACATTGTCCTAAAAGATATCAGTTTCACATTTGTCAAGTTCAGAATGTAATTTTTTGACATCCTTAGTTTTCTGATTTGTATTTCTCAAAATAAGCATCTGTCTTTCTGAACTAGTTGCTTTTTTTTAGGTATGTATTATTCAAGTTAATTACCATTTTTTTCACTTATATTGTACTCAAGTTAACATTATTTTGATATACCCCAACTGAGTCATGTTTTATTTTAATATACAAGTGTATTTTACATGACATATTCTGTTCCATTTTTGTCTTTCTCTCAAGTTAAATATTTTTCGTTTTCATATTGAGTTCTAAAATGATTCTTTATGAAGAATTTTTAAGTCACTCCATGAAAGACAGTAAATATTGGTCCCCTGGTGGTACAGCGGTAAGTCTTCAGATTTATAACACTAAAATCAGGGGTTCGATTCCCCTCGGTGGACACAGAAGATAACCCGATGTGGCTCTGCTATAAGAAAACACACACTCGTTTTATCAGTGATTATCGGTTAAAACTGAAAATCAGATGGGTATTTATATTAATCTGATGGTCGCTGGTTCAAATCCCCATCCTACCAAATATGCTTGCCCTTTCAGCCATGGGAGCATTATAATGTGAAAGTCAATCCCTCTATTTGTTGGTAAAAGAGTAGCCCAAGAGTTTCGGTGGGTGTTGATGACTAGCTGCCTTCCCTCTAGTCTTTCACTGCTAAATTAGGGATGGCTACTGCAGATAGCCCTCGTATAGTGTTGTGTGAAACTAAAACAAACCATACCAGTAAATTAGTTTTAGTAGGTAATAAGTTAAAAATCAAGGTTGTCATTGTAGTGTATTGTATTTTTTATAAGACAATTAATATTTGACTATCTATGTAATGAATTGTAATTACAGGTTTGCCAATTTTAGTGAATTTGAAAAGTTTTTTTGTTGTACAAAACTTGAAGATAGCTTTTATATGCAGAAACATCTGTTATCTGAGTTCTTGCACAGATCTTAAAATATAATGGCTATATATTGGCTAAAGGACATGCCAGTCAGTGATTGCCTTACTGGCCTACATTGATCTGACTCATTTTATAAGCTATACTATTCCCTGTAGATCATTTTCCAGACAGTTCTGCTATGATTAGTGTTTGGTGAAAAGCTTCAGCAGATATTTCCTTTGTAACATCTCAACCAACAATTGATCCAGTTATCAATGCTATTTTCAAGTTTTGAACAACTTGACTTTCAAGATCTATGTATCTACATGTGCCGATATTTCCATTTATCAACGTTATATTTTAAGATCTGTTTAAGAACTGTAACAGATGTTTCAGCATACAAAAGCTATCTTCAAATTTTAGTGAATATATTGTATGTTTAATGTCTTGTTTCAAGATCACTATCTATTAGTATTTTTATTAATATATATTATAAAAAATTAAGGGAAAGCCCAGAGGTGTATAAATCCATGCAGCTTTCACTCAAGTAAGTTAGTTAGGATTTGTGATACCTATGGTAATAAATAGTGTCTTTTTTTTTTACAGGACTTCTATATTGCTGATGCTAGTGAAGATCAGGTCTTTGTTTGTGTTATGCATGATGCTTTTGAAACCAACCTGTACATATCAGATGTTAAAGGCACCAGTTTCTCACTGTCACTAGAACGTGTACTTTATTTGAGCTCAAAAGCTCCTTTACCTGGGTTGTATGACAGGTTAGTACCTTTCTCGGGTATCCTAACTGTCTCCGAGTGCAGAAAGATCTTTACCTGGGATTTATGATAGATTACCTTGTTGTATTCAGTGGTGTTGAACAAGATTTACAAGACCTGATAAATATACCATAAAAAATCATCAGAGATCTTTTAAAGTTCTTAAAGACTTTTTTTTTTGTTTGCAGCAGTTAGTTATCTTTTACTATATATAAGACTCGTGTACTTGGTTCATGTGGATAATATACCAATATTGAAAATCAAAGATATTTTATAAAGAATGTAAGAAAAAGAAAAAGAAATTTCTATATATATATATATGTAATATGTCAGTAAAGTAACAAAATCATTTACACCAGGTTAAGTAGTTAGCACACAGAATAACCTACAAAAGTTATAATATTTTCAAAATGAGACTGAGAACTTGAGTGCTTTCAAAGAGTTGATTCTTCTTTTTCAGGAGAATAAGGGGTTATGTTTAATGAGTGTGATGAAATATTTCGGGTCGGATGTCAGTGTCACGTAAACCGGATGTTCAATATGAGATGGCCTTGAGAGCTAGCCAACCATAACCTAGATTTATTTGTGTCAGGTTTAGTTTTGTGCCAAAGGAGTGTTTAAAAGTCTTAAAAGACTTATGTGGGATAATAGTTATGAAAATTGTTAACTAATTTCTATAAAGATAAAATCAAATCAAATAAACAATAGAAATAAAATGAAAAAATAAATAATGGCAAAAGGTGGTGGGAAATAGAGAAAATAATAATGTAACTCAATATAAAGGAAATCAAACCAATATATATAGAGAGAAATTTAAGGAAGAATAATACTAATAATGTAAAGTAAGTTTAATCATGAATTTAGTTTTGAAAATCTTTTCAGAGACTTGCGAAGGTCAACCACCCCGGGATCGAGATTGATACCATTTGGCATTACAGTATTTAACAGTAATATCCAATAAGCTTCTTTAACACCCCTGTTTCTGTTAGATGTAAAATTTGTCTCTATACATGTCATTCACACCTAAGAAATGTATGAAAAAATCTAAAGTTTATTAGAAAGTTGAACAAACCCTAGTTAGGAGTTTGGGGTTGTAAAATACCGGATTTTTATAATAGCACCTAAAGCAGTGCTTACTCAGACAAAAAAAAAAAAAAGTGAAAAATATATATTAACATTTATAAAATGAATCTTATGCAAAGTATCTCTGAATTAATTAAATACTGGCAATAAATGTTCATGTAGCTCTATAATAGCAGATAAAACATTTCTGTGAGTAAAGTTTGAAGCTGCTAAGGTTTTTTTGGCACCCCAAAATTGTAGAAATTTAATATCATACATATATTTTGACTTTTATACAAGATACACGTCAGTCAGTTACACATTATATGGGAACCAACTGGAAAGCTTCTAGAATGAACAAATCACAAATGAATTTACTGGTTTATGAGAAGTTGAGTTTTGACTCTGCTGCTCTGTTTTTAATGGGGGCATTAACATGTTTGCTTGGTGCTCTAGTTAATGTGTAATGTACATGTTTTAAAAACTAAAACTTTAACTCATTGTAATCACATACAGAAATATAGCATTCAGTTAACATTGCTCTCTTGATGTCAGATAGTTTAAGAATGTAAGTAAGCTTTATATGTCAATTTTCCTTAATTATATGTTTTTGTGTACTTTAGTGAGGACTCGTTAGTTGATATACACAAAGTGGATGGTCTGAGAGGTGTGTATATTGCTACTCAAGTCAAGAAGGGAGCCCACATGGAGAACTTGTTGGAGAATCTGGTGTCAGTAATTAGCTTTGATAAAGGTGGAGAATGGGCTCCTCTGAGACCTCCTAAAGTAGATAGTAATGGTAACCCCATTTCTTGTCAGCTGGTAAGTTTGAGACCTACTAAAGTAGATAGTAATGGTAACCCCATTTCTTGTCAGCTGGTAAGTTTGAGACCTACTAAAGTAATAGTAATGGTAACCCCATTTCTT